TTATGTTGCAGGTGCTTGTCTGTTTGAATTCTGAAGTCCCAGAGCAGTTTAATTTTATCATTTTCTATGACTTTCTCTATTTTATGATCCCACCAGTTTTTGCTTACAGGCAAATGATATTTTTTGCAGATCTTCCAATGCACCATTGTTGCTACTTTGTCATGCCGCTGCTTGTAATCAGTCTGTGCAATCTTCTTGCAACAGCTTACCAAGTGGTCCACTGTTTCTTCAGCTTCTTTGCATAGGCGGCACTTACTGTCTGTTGCTGTCTTCTCAATTTTGACTTTGTATGCATTTGTCCTTAAAGCTTGGTCTTGTGCAGCCAGAATTAGTCCCTCGGTCTCTTTCTTCAATTTTCCTGCTCTTAGCCATTGCCAGGTTTTATTATTATCTGCTTTCCCAGCTATTTTTTTCATGTATTGGCCATGTAGTGCTTTGTCTTCCCATGCCTCTATTCTGTTCTTCATTTGGTCTTTCTTGTAGGCCAGTTTGGTCTCTCCAGTAGTAGTAAGCCTTCCTGATATACTAATTTCAGTGCATCTTCATCATTGTTCTTCAGATATTCTTCCAAAGCCATTTTTTCTTCTTCAACCATCTGATGTACTTGTAGCATTCCACGCCCACCTATTTGCCTTGGTAGATAAAGTCTATCAATGTCACTGCGTGGATGAAGGGCATGATTCATTGTCATTATTTTTCTGGTCTGCCTATCCATTGCTTTTAGTTCTGCTTGAGTCCAGTCCACTATTCCAGCTGTGTACCTAATTACTGGAATTGCCCAGGTGTTGATTGCCTTTATGGTATTTCCCATTGAGTTTGGACTTTAAGATCTTCTTCACTCTCTTGATGTATTCACCTCTAATCTTTTTCTTGACTTCAGTGTGCTTGATGTTGTCAGCTTGAAGGATACCCAAGTATTTGTAGTAATCTTCCTCATCCAGACTCTTAATGTTATTTTCGTGGGGCATCTTGATTCCTTCAGTTTTCACTATTTTTCCTTGTTTGATAGTAAGTGTGGCACATTTGTCCAAGCCAAACTCCATTACAATATCTTGGCTATATATACGGACAGTGTTGAGCAGCGATTCTATTTCAGATGATGTTTTTCCATACAGCTTCAGATCATCCATGTAAAGGAGGTGGGATAGTCTGGCAGATGTTTTTGATGTTTGATAGCCATGTCCTGAGTTATTCAGTATTGTTGACAGAGGAAACAGTGCAATAACAAATAGTAATGGTGATAATGAATCTCCTTGAAATATTCCTCTCTTGATATTAACCTCTCCCAGCTTCTCACCATTGATCTGCAACTGTGTCTTCCATTGTGCCATCGATCTTTGCACAAATTTTCTGATGTTTCTACTGACTCCTGTTATTTCTAGGCACTTGATTATCCAATCATGTGGCAGAGAGTCAAATGCCTTTTTGTAGTCAATCCATGCCACATTCAGGTTGGTCTTCCTTCTCTTGCAGTTTTCCAAGATCATTTTGTCTATTAGGAGTTGATCTTTTGTTCCTCTGCTATTGGGGCGGTTTCCTTTCTGCTCAGGTGGAAAGAGATTGTTTTCAACTAGATGCTGTTGTACTGCATCAGCTACTAGTTAGTAATTTGAAAGTTGTTGGTAAGCAGGTAATTGGCCTGTAGTTACCTGGTGTTGCCCCTTTTGCTGGATTTTTCATTATTAGGTAGGTTTTCCCAGTTGTTAGCCACTTTTCAATTTCTCCTCCTTGTAGTATATTGTTGAACTGCTTGGCAATGAGTGGGTGTATAACAGTTAGATGTTTCAACCAAAACCCATGCAGTTCATCTTCACCTGGTGCTGACCAATTTTTGATTTTCTTTGCTCTTTTTTCTACCATTTTTGTTGTTATTACTAGTTCTTTCATTTCAACTTCTGTTTTATTTGCATCCACCTCTTTTAACCAAGCCGCATCCTTGTTGTATTTCTTTGGGTTATCCCATATCTGCTTCCAGAACTGCACTGTTTCTTCCTTGTCAGGTACTGACTGATTCCTTGCAGTTTCTCCATTGATGGATTGGTAGAAACGTTTCTGATTGGATTGAAATTGGAGGTTCTGCCTATAGTTTGCAATTCGAGCTTCATATCTACTGATTTTCCTGGCTATAGCTGTTATTTGTTGCTTTATTATTTCCAGTGCTTCCTTGATCTTCCTTGTTTCTAAGTGGTATTTCTTGATTAGGTATTCTTTGGTCTTCTTGTTCTTCAGCTTCTTTTCTTTCATCTGTTCTAGCTTGCTTGCATGTGATCTTAACTTGCTGATCTTATTTTCTAGTCTAACCTTCCATTTTTGTGGTGCACTGTTTGTTTGTTTTTCTTTTTTGTTGATTTTACATCCCAGGTATTCTGTTATAACTGCAGCTGTGCTGTACATTAATTGGTTTGTTTCTTGCAGTGAATTGGTGCTTATACTTGCTATTGCAGTATTTGCATCTTTTAATGCTTGTGCTAGCTGTTTCTTTGGAACAAGCTTCAATGCAGGCAGCCTTATTCTGTTGTTTTTGTGCTGTTCTAGATGCTCAGTTATTCTTTGTTTCAATTCTTTTATTTCTTTAGTTAGAGGGTTTTGTTCTTCCTGAGGAAGAGGTGCCTGGTTTCCAAATGAGAACAGTTGTATATCTCTGCTGGATTCCTTCACTGCCAACTCCCCTGGTTTGCCTCTACATTCTGAATTACTTCTGGTAAGGCTTTGATTTCTTTGCCCTGGGTAAACCTTTGCAGTTCGTCCAATTCTGTTTCTGTGAATACTTTATTTCGTGTTATAAATCGGCGTTGATCTGCTAGTCTCTGTTCTGTTATTTCTGATTCTGGATGTTGTTCTTTCCAGAACTGGTGCATTCGTTTTAGATATCCTCTTCTTGTTGGACTTGATCTGTAGTAACAGATCATTATTTCTTTGTTTTCCATCACTGTGTATCTGCGACGGGTAAACACCTTTTCTTCCAGTAGTTCTGCAGCTGCTGGCCCTGGTTGCTCAGCCAACAGTCCTGAGTCCTGTAACCCATTTTTTACCAGATATCCAGGAACTCCAATCTCTAGTGCGGACCTTGTTAACCCGGGCGACGTCCGAGCCGGTATGGCATTCTGAAATTTACGTCTCACCATATTTTTTATGGGAGAGACACTCTTTGTCTGACTCCTCTGCAGCTCTCATCTTCCTCAGAGTACACAAGCCCCACAACCACGTCAAGGTAGTGCCTCACTGGGGGTTGTTATTATTATTATTATTATTATTATTATTATTATTATTATTATTACTACTACTACTACTACTACTACTACTACTACTACTACTATTATTACCATCTTCCTGGGGATCTACCTCCTCAATGCATCCCATCATATCTCTAATAAAAGCCAGTGATCCCTCTGAGCAAGCAAAGTATTATTATCATTATTATCATTATTATTGTTTTATTCATTAGAATGAACCACAGTCAACTGAACATTCAAATTGATGGGTGCTGCTGGTTGACACAGGTTGCTGCCAGCATCCTAAGGGTCAGCCAGGTACCTCCTTAAAATGTAAGATGTTCCAAGTAGCACAGTTTTTTGTAGCATTGCTGGAGTTATCACAGGAAGCTGCAGTTTCTTGATGCATTATTTTTTATTATTCTTATTATAAATAATAACAATAATACAAGAACCTCTTTTACCAAAAGGAAGGTAGACTTTGTGCATGTATAAAATACATTTTACACATGTGTAAAGTGACAATGGAAGATCTGAGAGTCCAGGTTTGAGGTCCTGCCACAAAGAAGAGGGGGTCAACTTATTTTCCAACGCACCAGAAAGCAGGACAAGAAACAACGAATGGAAACTAATCAAGGAGAGAAGCAACCTGGAATTCAGGAGAAACTTCTTAACAGCGAGAACAATTCACCAGTGGAACAGATTTGCCTTCAGACGTTGTGGGTGCTTCATCACTGGAAGTTTTTAAGAAGAGACTTGTCTGAAATAGTATAGGATCTCCTGCTTGAGCAGGGGGTTGGACTAGAAGACCTCCAAGGCCCCTTCCAGCTCTATTCTGATTGATTAAGATTAAGATTGGGAACAGCTTGAAGAAGATTTACCAGTGTTGTTACCAAGAGTCAACACTGATTTGGAGCTACATCAATTTTGTCCACCTATTGTTGATGCTGAAATAAGCAACCAGTGATTGGGTGAATTGCTCTGATGTCAGAGAATGTTGGAGACGATTGTTAGGGTGCACCAGCAAAAAACATTTGACAAACATTTGCTACTCTGAGGGAAGATGAAAAGATAGATTTGCATGCTGGAATAAGAGAAGGCATGCCATGGATAATGGGCTACCAGGTTATGGATAGGGATAGTTCACTGATACAGCTAGACGTCGACTGACGACTAGAATTGAGCCCAAAATTTCTGCTGCTAAGCAAGACGGTTGTTAAGTGAGTTTTGCTCCATTTTACAGCCTCGCCTCAGTTGTTAAGTGAATCACTGCAGTTGTTAAATTAGTAATATAGTTCTTAAATGAATCTGACTTCCCCATTGACTTGCTTGTGATCACATGACCCCGGGACACTGCAACCGTCATAAATGAGAGTCAGCTGGCAAGTGTCTGAATTTTTATCATTTGACCATAGGGACGCTGCAACGCTTACGTTTGAAAAATAGTCATAAGTCACTTTTTTCAGTGCTGTTGTAACTGGTCACTAAACAAACTGTTGTAAGTTGAGGACTAACTGTACTTGGAAGGGTGGGAATTCTGCAAACCAGTCACATTGACACTCAGAGCTTGGCTGTTAAGTTATAATAATAACAAAGTTGGAAGGCACCTTGGAGGTCATCTAGTCCAACCCCCTGCTCAGGCAGGAAACCCTATACCATTTCAGACAAATGGCTGTCCAGTCTCTTCTTAAAAACTGCCAGTGTTGGAGCCTTCACCACTTCTGGAGGCAGGTTGTTCCACTGGTTAATTGTTCTAACTGTCAGGAAGTTTCTCCTTAGTTCTAGGTTGCTTCTCTCCTTGATTAGTTTCCATCAGTTGCTTCTTGTCCTGCCTTCAGGCGCTTTGGAGCATAGCTTGAGTTGTGTAACAAGCTGAAGGGTTAACTCTTATTTTCTCAACATGGTTACAGTTTCAAACCCTTTTGTTCTGAAGCTTTCTCACCTAACAGTTGCCATCTTGGCAATAACCTTTTGCTGCGGCTGTTTCCCTCCTTCCCCATCAGCTGCCACAATCTTCTGATCCACCCATTTATGTCCTGGGTTTGCCTCATTCCTGGCTGTTCTGCCCAGCTCTTTCACTAACCCCCTCCCTCCTCCCAACCTGGATGCAGTAGTGTTAACGCAGTGGGGTGAAAAAATGCTGATTCAGCTTTGCTAGCATGCTGATCGTTTGCAGAGGGGGGAAAAAAATGCTGCATTACCAGTGCTACACAGAAGGAAGAGGCAAGCGGCAATTTTCAGCTCCTGAACTCTTCCCCTCTCCGCCGAAAACTGAGGCAGGAGAAAGGCCTATAAGAATTTGAGCCTGGAGGAAGAGTCGGGGACAGCCGTTCGAAATAGAGAAGAACATTTCAGCCACAAGGGTAAGAAAGTGACTTCTATTTCCTTCAGCCTTGGTGCTTTGCTTCCAACAATCTCTCATCCTTTGGGGCAGGAGGTGGAGAAGGGGAAGAATATCTGAGGTTTCCTGAGAAAATATAAAGTTCTAAACATAATGGGAAGTAAATCTATCGAATTCAGTGGGCTTTGCTTCCGAGTCAACTTGTTTCAAACAGCTTTTGGCTTTTCATGATGTCTTCCCTTTCAAAATAGATCCAAACTGAAAGGACTGAACGGACACACACACACAGAACCAAGCACCATATAAATAGAACGCATAGAATAGCCCAGTGCACACATTCTGGAGAGAAAGAAGTTTCTTGAGGATGGGCTCTAGCACAAGCCAGGAAACTTGGTAGAATAAACCTTTAATCCTTGTGACCAGCTCAGATTAGATCCTGCAACAGAAATATACTTTAAAGTAGTCCATGTGTTATATTTTTTTCCACTTAATTTACTGCATTGTGAGTTCCTGAGGTGATTTTGGAATGGGTTCAGATATCTTGTTAATATTGCTTCTGGTGGCTTTTCTGAACTGTTCTTAAAAAGTCAAAATTTCAATTAAAATCTTCCATAAAAGCCTAAGTTATTAGCAACTTTGGGGTTTATAGGAGGTTATTCTGGGCTGAATTCTCTGCAGTGACCCAAAATCCTGGTTTAAGTCTCTCTCAAATTCCAATCGGTGAAATAAATCTCTCTCTTCTCCACCACCCTCCATGGCTGAAGAGTGATTCAGAATTATTTAAGATCTTTTCATAGAAGGTATGCAAAGGTCTACCCAGGCTCTGAATATGCTGAATTAAATGCTTAATCTTGCTTAACATGGGTTCCATGCTAGCAATTTATTTATTTATGGGTACCAGATTTTGGGATTCCCTAGAAAGAGGCTGAAATAGAAAGGAATGAGAACAGATTGTTGATTTCTTCCAAGTCAAGTCTTCTGAAGGATTAGACCTGGATGGTTTGGAGGAACTCAATATTCCAGGAAATAAAACTACTTTTTAATAAAAATCCTGCTTTGAATTTCTAAAAGGAGAACGGGAGATTATGCTCCACCGCAATCTCCAAGCTGAGATTCTTGGATTTGGAAGTATAAAAGATGGGATTCAGCATTTTTTTTATAGCTGGAAATATTAGAGTGGGCTCTGACTCACATAACTTCATTTGCTTCTCAGTAATTACTAGACATCTGATTGATTAATTTTAGCCTCCTTTTTTCTCCAGGAAAATAATAATAATAATAATAATAATAATAATAATAATAATAATAATAATAATAATAATAATAAGAAGAAGAAGAAGAAGAAGAAGAAGAAGAAGAAGAAGAAGAAGAAGAAGAAGAAGAAGAAGAAGAAGAAGTTGGAAGGGACCTTGGAGGTCATCTAGTCCAGCCCCCTGCTCAGGCAGGAAACCCTATATCATATCAGACAAATGGCTGTCCAGTCTCTCCTTAAAGATTTCCAGTGTTGGAGCATTCACTACTTCTGGAGGCAGGTTGTTCCACTGGTTAATTGTTCTAACTGTCAGGAAATTTCTGTACTCTTTCTAGAGATCTTTTTTACATCGTGGTGACCAAAACTGGATGCAGTATTCCAAGTGTGGCCTTAGCAAGGCATTGTAGAGTGGTATTAATACTTCACGTGATCTTGATTCTATCCCTCTGTTAATGCAGCCTAGCACTGTGTTGGCCTTTTTGGCAGCTGCAGCACACTGCTGGCTCATATTTAGGTGATTGTCTACTAGGACTCCGAGGTACCTCTCACAGTTACTACTATTGAGCATGGTGCCACCTATGCTGTACTTGTGCATTTGGTTTTTCTTGCCTAAATGTAGATCCTTGCTTTTTTCACCATTGAATTTCATTTTGTTAGTTAGTGCCCAGTGTTCAAGTCTGTCCAGATCCTTCTGTATCTTAAGCCTGTCTTCTGGAGTGTTGGCTATTCCTGCCAGCTTGGTGTCGTCTGCAAATTTGATGAGTTCCCATCTATCCCTTCATCCAAATCGTTGATGAAGATGTTGAAGAGTACTGGGCCCAGAACAGAGCCCTGGGGCACCCCACTACACACTTCCCTCCATATAGATGCAGTTCCATTGAGGACCACTCGCTGAGTACGGCCGGTCAGCCAGCTCCGGATCCATCTGGTGGTGGTTCTGTCTACCCCACATTTTTCTATCTTGTCAAGTAGTAGGTGGTGATCTACTTTATCAAATGCCTTACTGAAGTCCAAGTAAATTATGTCCACAGCATTCCTCTGATCCACTAATTTTGTCACTTGGTCAAAGAATGCAATAAGATTTGTCTGGCATGATCTATTTTTGACAAACCATGTTGGCTTTTAGTAATGACTTTGTTTGCCTCTAGGTGTTCATTGATTCATTGTTTGATTATCTTTTCCAGGATCTTCCCAGGTATTGAGGTCAGGCTGATAGGTCTGTAATTTCCTGGATCCATTTTTTTTTTCCTTTTTTGAGGATGGGAACTACATCAGCTCTTTTCCAATCCTCTGGTAGTTCCCCTGTGTTCCAGGATCTTTGAAAAATATAGTTCAGTGGTTCCGATATCACATCTGCCAGTTCTTGAGAACCTTGGGGTGTAATCCATCTGGTCCTGGCGATTTGAACTCATCTAAGCTGGACAGGTGCTCACTTACCATTTAAGTAACTTGAAGTTTGCTAATTGTGAATATTTCTATGTACATTAACTATTACTCATGTATTTATAATTATTATCATTTTCTCCTCCTTTCCTGAAATGTACACAGGTAGTATTCGACTTACGACCACAGTTGAGCCCAAAATTTCTGTTGCTAAGCAAGACATTTGTTAAGTGACTTTTGCTCCATTTTACGACTTTTCTTGCCACAATTGTTAAGTGAATCACTGCAGGTGTTAAGTTAGTAACAAGGTTGTTAAGTGAATCTGGCTTCCCCCATTGACCTTGCAATGTCAGACTGCTGCAAAAGGGGATCACATGACCCCAGGCCACTCCAATTGCCATAAGTGCGAGTCAGTTGCCAAATGTCTGAATGTTGATTACATAACCATGGTGTGCTACAAATGTCACTTTTTTTAGTGCCGTTTCGAACATTCACTAAATGAACTGTTTGTTGTAAGTGGAAGATTACTTGTACTGCAAATATGAATGTATCCTTTATCTGTAGGAATCCTTCTCACTATTTTTTTTACCAATTTATTTAAATACCACCTTTATTGTTTTTACAAATAACGCAAGGTGGCAACCATATCTAACAGATCCTCATCTCCAAAGCGTCGGAAGGCAGGAGAAGAAGCAACGGATGGAAACTAATCAAGGAGGGAAGCAACCTAGAACTAAGGAGAAACTTCCTGACAGTTAGAACAATTAACCAGTGGAACAACCTGCCTCCGAAAGTTGTGAATGCTCCAACACTGGAAGTCATTGAGACTGGACAGCCATTTGTCTGAAATGGTATAGGGCTTCCTGCCTGAGCAGGGGGTTGGACTAGAAGATGACCTCCAAGATCCCTTCCAACATTATCAATCATTGCACAGTCAGCCAGATGTTCAGACTGGATTTGGCATTTTGTCTACCTATCGAGTCCTTACCCAGGACCAGGGATAGGCAGATGTGGATGTTTGATGGTATTACATATATCGTCGCAGGATGGAAGCAGTTCCTAGTAAGGCCGCCTTTTGCAATTGACTAATGGCGAATTTGTCAATGCCTATGGTGTTCAAGTGGTGCTCCAGTTGTTTTGGGATTGCACCCAAGGCGCCTGTTACTATTGGTACTACCCTTGTTTGCTTTTGCCACAGTCTTTCTATTTCTGTTTGTAGGTCTTTGTATTTTGTTATCTTCTCCAGTTCTTTCTTGTCTATTCTGCCATCTCCAGGCACTGCCACGTCCACTATCCAGACTTTTTTGTCTTTCTTATCGACAATTGTTAAGTCCAGGGTGTTGTTGTTGTTGTTGTTACTATTATTATTATTATTATTATTATTATTATTATTATTATTATTGTTATTATTATTATTTTCCCCACAACAACCCTGTGAAATGGGTTGGGCTGAGAGAAACCCTGGATGGAGTCCTCCAGGGTATATTGAGTAAATAGTAAGAGGAAGGTATGTTGAATATGTTCTCAGCCTTGAGTTATTTGTTCAGCTTATGGCCTTGATTATTATTATTATTATTTTGGAGTGCTGTGTTCAATTCCACAGGGTCTTCTCTTCCATTTGGCCAAGAAAAGCCCAGGAAACATTCCTTTAGTCTTGATACAAACGTGGTCCTAGAAAATTGAACAAGAAAACAAGAGGAAGGAAAAAATACTAATATTTGAGAGAGGTATAACCTGTTAGAAACTGTGCTTGGAACCTAATAGAAGTTCCTGTGAGAGTGGAAGTCTCGCTTCTTTATCGGCAAAGGTGGACTTCCACATTTGGATGTTTTAGATGCTTTAATTCCAACTTTGCAAGATCTTTTTTTCCCCATGAGAAGTTGAAATTGATTGATTGATTGAACCTTTTTTTTTTTTTGCACACGGCGGTGGAGGCCTAAAGTGAAAAGGTTTTATAAAACGCAGCTGAAGGCCTAGGACTGGGGTGATGGTGCGCGTGCCCACAGAGAGGGCTCTGCATGCCACCTGTGGCATGCGTGTCATAGGTTCGCCACCACGGGACTAGGCAGTCACTTGTCTGAGATGGTGTAGGTTCTCCTGCTCGAGCAGGGGGCTGGACTAGAAGACCTCCAAGGTCCCTTCCAGCTCTATTCTATTCCATTCCATTCCATTCTATTCTATTCTATTCTACAGTAGATGATGGTCATAAGTGCCTATTCCTGCAGATAGAATGTTCAGTTATTTTATATATAATTCAATATGCTAATTTCTGATAAACTATGTTGTAAGTTAGATCATACTTATGACAATTATATTTCCCTAAGAAAATAATTACTGAGAATTTATCAATGCTTCCAGACAAGACTTAGTTTGTACAAAATACCCCATCTCATTCACAGGAATGCCAACAACCTATGAACGAAAGATAAAAATGTGTTAAAGTGAAAACATTAAACGAATTGACAATGTATTTTTATTTATAGTGCCAGAAGCTATCTGGAATCATTTGTGAAATGGGCTCATCCTCATTTTTGATAACTAACTATAAATAGTATAATGCTTTTTATTTCTATCTAATTCTTTTTTCCTTTCCCCATTTATGCAAAACACCAAAGAGATCAGACTAATGTGTATGCGTATGAGTGTAAGAATATGTTATATTTCTAATAATAATAAGGCCACACTTGAATACTGCATCCAGTTTTTGTCACCATGATGTAAAAAGAATGTTGAGACTCTAGAAGGAGTGCAGAGAAGAGCAACAAAGATGATTAGGGGACTGGAGGCTAAAACATATAAGGAACGGTTGCGAGAATTGGGTATGTCTAGTTTAACGAAGAGAAGGACAAGGGGGGAAATGATAGCAGTATTCCAATATCTCAGGGGCTGCCATAAAGAAGAGGGAATTAAGCTATTTTCCAAAGCACATGAAGGCAGGACAAGAAGCAACGGGTGGAAACTAATCAAGGAGAGAAGCAACCTAGAACTAAGGAGAAACTTCCTGACAGTGAGAACACTTAATCAGTGGAACAGCTTGCCTCCAGAAGCAGTAAATGCTCCAACACTGGAAGTTTTTAAGAAGAGACTGGCCAGCCATTTGTCCGAAATGGTGTAGGGTTTCCTGCCTGAGCAGGGGGTTGGACTAGATGACCTCCAAGGTCCCTTCCAACTTTACTACTATTACTATTACTTTCCCACCCATCTACTGTTACTGTCCTCAAGAAAGAGTTATTGCGTTAATAATAAAAAGAAACTTATCAGTTGCGTTGTCATACAAGTTTTGATAAGCATATCGAGAAGCAAGGACTTCAATTAACTTGCATTCTTTCTATGCTTCCATCTTGCTAAGTGTCCAAGAATTTGTTTTCCTCATAACCCTTAAGACTATTGAATTATTCTTCCAATTATCTTTTCATTCATGTGTTGATTCTTGCAAGAAATCCACATCAGATGAGAAACTTGAGTTCTGTGGTTACTTAGCAAAACACTGTGGGTGCCTAAAGAGTTGAATAATTCCTTTTTTTATTTCAAAGTAATATTGTGTTTTGCTTTTTTTTTTTTTAAAAAAAAAAGGGCTTCACAGGGCGCTAATTTTTCTTCAAATGAAGAAGGCTGAAATAATAATAATAATAAAAAGCTTTCCTGAAGATCCAGAGAAATATTGTGTCAGCTGCCACCTTATGCTTGTTTCTTTCGCTACAGTATGGTGACAGACTGCCATGAACTGTGGGCAGGGAGGAGGGAGGAAGGCAAGAGGGAAAACGAAGTAAGTTCTGCAGGAGGGAGGAAAACAAGGGAAAAACGAAAGTAAGCTCTGCAGGAGGGAGAGAAGCAAGGGGGAAAACGAAAGTAAATGCTGCCAGAGGGAGGAAAACAAGGGAGAGAATGAAGCAAGGGGGGAAACGAAAGTAAGTGGTGCAGGAGGGAAGGAAGCAAGGGGGAAAACGAAAGTAAGTGCTGCAGGAGGGAGGGAAGCAACGGGGGGGGGGAACGAAAGTAAGTGCTGCAGGAGGGAGGAAAACAAGGGAGAGAACGAAGTAAGTTCTGCAGGCGGGAGGGAAGCAAGGGGGAAAACAAAAGTAAGTGCTGCAGGACGGAGGAAAACAAGGGAGAGAAGGAAGTAAGTTCTTTAGGCGGGAGGGAAGCAAGGGGGAAAACGAAAGTAAATGCTGCAGGAGGGAGGGAAGCAAGGGGAAAAACGAAAGTAAATGCTGCAGGAGGGAGGGAAGCAAGGGGGAAAACGAAAGTAAATGCTGCAGGAGGGAGGGAAGCAAGGGGGAAAACGAAAGTAAATGCTGCAGGAGGGAGGGAAGCAAGGGGAAAAACGAAAGTAAATGCTGCAGGAGGGAGGGAAGCAAGGGGGAAAACGAAAGTAAATGCTGCAGGAGGGAGGGAAGCAACGGGGGGGGGGAACGAAAGTAAGTGCTGCAGGAGGGAGGAAAACAAGGGAGAGAACGAAGTAAGTTCTGCAGGCGGGAGGGAAGCAAGGGGGAAAACAAAAGTAAGTGCTGCAGGACGGAGGAAAACAAGGGAGAGAAGGAAGTAAGTTCTTTAGGCGGGAGGGAAGCAAGGGGGAAAACGAAAGTAAATGCTGCAGGAGGGAGGGAAGCAAGGGGAAAAACGAAAGTAAATGCTGCAGGAGGGAGGGAAGCAAGGGGGAAAACGAAAGTAAATGCTGCAGGAGGGAGGGAAGCAAGGGGGAAAACGAAAGTAAATGCTGCAGGAGGGAGGGAAGCAAGGGGAAAAACGAAAGTAAATGCTGCAGGAGGGAGGGAAGCAAGGGGGAAAACGAAAGTAAATGCTGCAGGAGGGAGGGAAGCAAGGGGGAAAACGAAAGTAAGTTCTGCAAGAGGGAGGGAAGCAAGGGGAAAATGAAAGTAAGTGCTGCAGGAGGGAGGAAAACAAGGGAGAGAACGAAGTAAGTTCTTTAGGCAGGAGGGAAGCAAGGGGAAAAACGAAAGTAAATGCTGCAGGAGGGAGGAAAACATGGGAGAGAACGAAGTAAGTTCTGCAGGAGGGAGAGGAGCAAGGGGGAAAACTAAAGTAAGTACTGCATGTTTTTCAAGGTTATTGAGCATAGCAGCTGCATATCTTCCTGTACATGGATTGGCTGTTACCAAAACATCCTGCCTGAACTTAAATGGTCACAGGGTGGGTGATGGAAGGTAGGTAAGGAAGGGGAAGGTTAAACTTGGGGCTTTTGGCATGCAGTTCTCAGTTCTGGCTATACACTACTGCAGTATACTTGGCCTTTAATAAAACTATGCCTTTCTCAACAGCTGGAGCCAGTGGTGGGATTCAAATATGTGAGCAACTGGTTCTGTGTGGATACCGCTTTTGGAAGTCCATTTTGGGCCTGGGCAACAAAAATTAGCTACCGGTTCTGCCAAAGTGGTGCAAACCGGCTGAATCCCACCACTGGATGGAGCCAAGGATGTTTTTTATTTAGAGGTTTAATTCCCAGCAGGTCTGACACGTTGAGGGGTTTCCCCACCCTGCAACTGGGCTGTGAGAATCACCTTGAGGAAGAGGAGGAAGAGACGCAGCCAAGGCAGCGGTGAGGTAAGAAATTTCTGTGTCCGAAATAGGAATGCAGTTTGAGAAAATGTCTCAGGGTTTTATCCTTCCTGGTTCACTTTGGGATAAAGGCAGGGAACAGGGAGGCCCACTCAGACTCTGTTTCTGTAACCCTGTAAGAAAAGTAGTTTTGATATTCATGACTTTGGTGTCCAGGTCTGATCTCTCCGGGATGGCAGACACTCCTTTGCCTCAGGCTTCCAGTCCTTGAAGGGCTGTCACAGAGGAGAAAGGTTCAACCTATTCTCCACAGCATCTGAGGGCAGGACAAGAAGTAATGGGTGGAAGCTCGTTAAAGAGAGATCCAACCTAGAACTAAGGATAAATAACCTGTTACTGAGGACAATTATTTAATGGAACAACCTGCCTCCAGAAGTTGTGAATGCCACAACACTGGAGGTTTCTAAGAAGAGACCGGACAGTCCTTTGTTTGAAATGGTATAGGGCAGTGGTTGTCAACCTTTTTAATGCCGCAACCCCCAACCGGTCATAAGTCGAGGACTACTCAACCGGTCATAAGTCGAGGACTACTCAACTGGTGCAGCACTATTTGCAGAATGGGACTTTTGGCAGGCTCAGCAGGGCAGAGACAGCCTGGACAATTCCTATTGGCTTTCGAAAGCCAATAGAATTAGACTCTATTCAAGAGAGTCTATTCTATTGGCTTTCAAAAGCCAATAGAATAAAAGGGAGTAGCACAGCTAAGGAAAAGGGGGAAAAAATGGCGGACTGCGTTGTTTGATGACCCCTGTGAAATGGTCGTTCGACCCCAAATGGGGTCCCGACCCACAGGTTGAGAACCACTGGTATAGGGTCTCCTGAGCAGGGGGTTGGACTAGAAAATCTCCAAGGTCTCTTCCAACCCTATTATTCTATGTTATATGTTCACTCCACAGGCTGAAATAGAGGCAATTCTACCTGGAAAACCTGTGCAGGCTGTCTTTGAATTGACCAACATGGCTTCGGTACGAGAAGTATCCAGTTTCACCGAAGACTTGCTGTGCCCCATTTGCCTCTCCCTCTTTCGGGACCCCCACATGCTGGAGTGCGGCCACAGCTTCTGTGCTCCCTGCCTGGAGCCCTGCATCCCCAAGGGGCAAAGACGCGGGCTCTGCCCTGAGTGCCGACGTCCCTTCGCTTTGCGCCGCATGACCATCAACCGAGCTCTTTGCAGCTTGTCCGAGAAGGCCCGGCTCCTGAAGCTGGATGAAGGGGCTCATCTGAGTGGCACCGGCAGCTGGTACTTCTGTGAGGAACACGAGGAGCCCCTCAAGCTCTTCTGCAGCCAAGATGAGGAGCCTGTCTGCGTCATCTGCCGGGACTTGCCTCAGCACCGGGGACATGACTTCCTGCCCATCAAAAACGCGGTTCAGACCTATCAGGTGAGAGCTGATCCTGGGAAGAGAAAGAAGGTGACCTCTGGTTGAACAAGACACTAATCTCTCTCTCTCTCTCCCTCTCTCTCTCTCCCTCTCTCTCTCTCTCTCTCTCTCTCTCTATCTCTCTCTCTCTCTCTCTCTCTCCCTCTATCTCTCTCTCTCTCTCTCTCTCTCTCTCTCTGACCTTCTGACTAGCAAAGTCAGTGGGGAAGGCAGATTCACTTAACCGCCATGTGACTAACTTAACAACTGCAGTGTAGCCAGACAGGTCATAAATATGGAGCAAAATTCACTTAACAACTGTCTTGCTTAGCAACACAAAAATGTTGGGCTCCATTGTCTTAAATTGAGGACTACCTATATTTTGGTTTCCCTTAAAATCAAAAGAAGATTGTGGGAGGATGAAAAGGTCAGGGACTAAGGGATCCAGGGACAGAAGGGGTGCTCTCAAAGGGAACTGGAAGCACCAACTGGAACCCCAAGATTGCCACTAAAGAGCACATAATTTCAGGAGATCTCCCCAATGCACATCAACATGCTTTGTATTGTTGTAGTTATGTTGAGGTAGGAAATTAGCAAAAACACCAGTTCCCAAATGTAGCACCTTAAACTCTCCTGTCCTTGGGCTGTTTCAGCAGCAAAAGAATCCTGAGATACAGGTAGGGACATGCATACATATCCTTGGGAAATAATAGGTAGCTTGTCCTTCTGCTGGGGCGAGGCTGTGTGGATATGATGCAAGATGCCACCTAAGCTAGTTTAATTAGGAATGACATCTCAGATACAAGAAATGGTTGCCCACAGCACTGCAAAGAATTCAAAGTCTTATTTTTGTTCTGGTTTTTCCCCCCCAAGACAATGGATACTTGGCCAGTCTCTTGATGGCCTTGGGAGGCAGCTGGGAGATAATTTCATAACGTTTATTTCCAGCCTAGGAACCCTAGTTTCAGTCTCCCAATCTCAGCCCTTGCAGGTGAGGACTGTAAACCCCAGGATGCCTTTCCTTGTGATTGAGTTGGAAAGGCTATTTGAGCCATGGAGCCCAACGCTTGACTGAAGCCCCTCAGTTAAGGCATCTCTGGCAAGTATCGATCCAGCTTCTGCTTGAACACATCAGGGAAGTCAAGTCCACCATCACGCTGCGTAACTGGTTCCACTGTAGGACTGCATTTAGGAAATTCCTTACAAGCTCAGAGAGGGCTGAGGACTCCACAGTTCAAACCTGAGCTACATATATTCTCTTCTGCCAGTTCCCTCTTGTCAGGAATAGTCACATACACCCACAAATTTGCTTTCTATAAATGTTTTGTCCTCAGGAGTTTAGATGGAGTAGCAGGCTCTATACCAGTGGTGGCGAACCTATGGCACGCATGCCAGAGGTGGCACTCGGAGCCCTCTCTGTGGGCACACATGCTGTTGTCCCAGCCTCCCCTCCCCCGTGACCCCCTCCTCACCAGCAGCCCCCCTGGAGGAGAGTCGGCCCCGAGTGTGGCCCACGTGAAGCAGCGCAGTCAAGGACATGGCAGCCAGGCAGCGTAGACAAGACTCTGCTCTCACGCCCCATCCTGCACAGTTGATGCTGTGGGGTGGCGCAGAGGGCATGGCTGCCATGGCGCTGCTGAGCTTCCTGGAGGCGGTGAGTGGCCCTGCAGGCAGGTGGGGCAAGGAGTAGAATGGGGGCGGGACCAGTTTTTGGGCACTCGGTCTCTAAAAGGTTCGCCATAACTGCTCTATACTGAAAAAAAGAACAAGTCAATGAGGCAGAAAAAAAGAATCTGAAGTGCCAACCCCCCATTTGATTCATTAGAGTTAATATGACTATAGTCCTCCACTTACAGACCACAACTGAGTCCAAAATTTCCATTGCTAAGCAAGACAGTTGTTAAGTGAGTTTTGCCCCATTTTTGCCACAGTTGTTAAGTGAGACACTGTTCTTGCTAAGTTAGTAACACGGTTGTTAAGTGAATCTGGCTTCCCCATTGACTTTGCTTGTCAGACTCTTGCAAAAGGTGATCACATGACCACGGGACACTGCAACTGTCATAAATACATGTCAGTTGCCAAGCCTCTGAATTTTGATCACATGACCATGGGGATGCTGCAACGGTTGTACATTTGAAAAGCAGTCCTGAGTATTTTTTTCCACTGCTGCTATAGCTTCAAATGGTTACTAAACAAACGGTTGTAAATCAAGGACTACCTGCATTTTCCATATAACGTGATGTTGCTATCACATTAGAAATCACAATGCAGTGATTTGGAGGTATTTGGGATTGCAATCAAAATTTGTGGATGTCCCTTTGGGTTGTTGATGATTGCTATGCTGTATCTGGCTAGGACGGTGAATGCAGTGGGCTGAATACTTGGATGCAGGAATGTAAGCCATCTTCAGGAGAAATCTTTAAGAGATGTATGGCATTATTGTTCCCCAGTCTTGTTTTCTCTGAGAAGATATTCAGTCAATCAGATCTTTAATTGCAGTCATGCACCATAAATAAATGGGATACAAACAATAATTTTTTAAAAAGCTAAAAAGTATAGAAAGAAAACTTGCACAAAAGCCGTATACTTAAAAAAAGCTGAAAGATACCCATAAAAAGCAAAAGTTTAAAAAAGTTCTATCAGCAAAAAGAAATACGTTAAATAAATACAGGGGAACATCAAACATTAATATATTGGTAACTAAATCTATCACAGTATGAAACACTTGTGGACTTCAGCTCCCAGAATTCCTCAGCCAGCATAGCAAGTCTTAAAGTTGTCAAGGTTGCAGACCCCTGTTCTTAACGATCAAATTAAATGCTCATTAAGGCTGGTTGGGGAACAGAATTTAAGCGCTGTTGAGAAGAACCTGGCAACACAAATGTTATAGCAGGATTAGCGTCTGCAAGCAGCAGGGAGGTATAAAATTGTCCAATGAAATGATGGTGTTTGTTTTAAGTCAGACCTGAATTTTCTCTTCCCTTCAGGACCAGCTGAAAGCATCTCTGGAGCCTCTTGAGGAAGATCTCAGACGGTTGAAACTGAGTCAGTGTCACCAGCAGGAGAACATTATCGAATTAAAGGTGCAGCTTTTGCATCGCATGCCCGAAGTAGGATATTTGAGTCATTAGTGCTTCAAATAAGAACTCAAATGAGTTGATTTGTTTAATGGTCCATTGGATTTTTTTTTCATAGCTACCCAAGGTAGTCTCAGGAGTCTTTCCCCAAAACCAACATCATTGTGACAGGTGATCATTTCTGTATGACCAAACCACAATCTTTTGCTGTGCCCCATTTATGTTTTTCCAGACCTGTTCTGAATCCTTGTCTGATCATGTTTCTGGAGAGTTTGTGAAGATGCACCAGCTGCTGAACGACAGGGAGCTGGCTATAAAGCAGGCCTTAGAAAACCAGCGAGAAAAGAACTTGGCTCAGATGGAAACCAAGTTAAAGGAACTGGACTGGAAGATGGCCTCATGTTCAGAAACTCTGTGTCGCGTACAGGCCGGCCTTGAGTGCAAAGATCACATAAGTTTCCTTAAGGTAAGGAGGACTCTGGGCTGTGGGGTTTTCTTGGGAAGAAAAAAAAATTGCTGAGTGCATGGATTTGTACCAAACAATTGTCACAAGAATAATTTGGAGTTCCAACTCAAGCCGGGTTTGCAATGTAAATTATCGTAATGATAACATAGTTGTCTAGAAATGAGTTCTAGACAACTATGAGGAAAGAAGAAATATTAGAAATATTTATTTCTAAAAGCAAAAGAAGGGGCAGGCTGCAAAGAAATGGGGTACAGTGGCTAACTTTTATGGGGGGATCTTGTCCAGGATGTATCATGAAATTGGGATACATGTCCCCACTTCTCTCCACCTCCCCATGATGGTGAATAAAAAACCAGAAGCAACAAAAAGAAAACACAGCTCTGAATTAGAATAGAATAGAGCTGGAAGGGACCTTGGAGGTCTTGTAGTCCAGCCCCCTGCTCAAGCAGGAGAACCTATACCAATTCAGATAAGTGACTGTCTAGTCTCTTGTGGAAGTATCTACCTGCTGAGGTGTGTGTGTGTGTATGTGGTATGCTTGTGAACATACAGTTCTGCTGGGAGATTTAATTTAATTAACTCTATTTGTGTTTGCAGATGTTTTCTTCTGATATGTGGATTAGGCCTGGGTAACTTATTTGGGGGTTTGAGGAAGTTTGCTAGTTGGATTAACTTGGGGACACTGATTCTCAGACCATTGTGGATTCTGTTAATATTTTAAGGGAAGATGGAAACAGTATAAAGAATAAAATAGATTTGGATATAAATCTTCTCACATCAGTGTTTGTCACGACTGACAAAACGTCTGTGTTTTCTTTAGCTTCATAAGCCACCCGAAATCACTGAGAGTGAGTTGGGTGGCCAAATACATTTTCTTAAACAAATAAAATACAAGACTTGATTTTCTGTAACAATTGCTGATTCCATAGTGTTTCTTCATGTAAAAGTGAGATCGATCAGTACATGCGTCTTCATCATCTCAGATTGTCAGTGGCATATCAAGCACTGTGATTCTGCAGCAGGCATGCCAAACACATGGCCCACAGGCCGGATGCGGCCCACACAGGCCACACCCAGCGTGGCCTCCAAGGACAAAACAAATCCTGATATGTCACGATACGGCCCACGATGCGATGGGGTTTGACACCCCTGCTCTACAGTCCTCAGTTTTTGTTTCTTCTTTCTATGTTGTGATAGTATTTCACCGGGATTACTTTTTTTTGATAATAAACTAGGGCAGGATCTATTGAGAGCAGAATCTGTTGTGTACCATTAAAATGCAGGATGCTTTGACAGGAAAGTGGGTGATAACTCACTGACAGAATTATTTTGATAGTTCTCTCACTTTTCTTTCTTTCCTTCCTTCCTTCCTTCCTTCCTTCCTTCCTTCCTTCTCTCCCTCCCTCCTTCCCTCCCATAGGAGGCAAAAGAGTTGCTAGAGAGGTAAGTGGTGTTTCTCTTTTCTTATACAGGTAGTTGTCGAGTTACAGCCACAGTTAGGACCAAAATTTTCATTGATAAGGAAGGTGGTTGTTAAAATACTGTTAAAACCCCTGATTTTACGATCTTTTTTTTTGCCACGGTTGTTAAGTGAACCACTGCAGTCGTTAAGCAAATCCAGCCTCCCCCATTGAGTTTGCTTGCTCCAAGCCGGTTTGGAAGGTCGCAAATGACAGTCATGCGACCCCCCAACATGGCAACTATCGTAAATGCATGCTGGTTGCCAAGCACCTGTACCTTGATCACGACCATGTGGATGCTACAACGGCTGTAAATGTGAGGACCGGTTGTAAATCACTCTTTTCAAGGGTCTCTCAATGAATGGCTGTTAAGTGGAAGATTACCTACACAATAAATGTATGAAAGGAAGAAAAGCATGAGCCAGCAGGGAGGGCTGATCCTGCAAGCTACATCAGTTTGCCTGCAAAGACAAATAGGCATGGGGGAGGGCTTGCCAGCCACGTAGAAAAAAGGCAGCTGGACTTCCACCTTTCAGAAGCTGCTGGATTTGCCAAAATGAGTAGGTGAAGCTCCTCCACGAATGGAAGTGAAGGTGGTTACTTCTTTACTTCCATTGAAAAGCTCTGCTACAATGATAAACTTGGGTCCTCTTCCTTCTTGGGAGCAGAGACAAAGCAAGGTTGATTTGGCCAAAAGGTTTAATGAGTTCATTGTTCTTCTGGCCCTTTGGCTCCTACAGTACCCAAATCACTTCTAAAATCTCTGTAAAACTATAAAAGAAAAAGTAGAGATTTCCTTGAGTGAGTCTTTACTTTTGATGATGACCTGGACATTTTCTTGGCAACAGTATGGCCATCACCTTCTCCTGGTTTTTGCAGCTTCCCAAGGAAGTATTAATCAGATCTGAACCTACTTAACTTTTTGGGAAATCATCCTATGTTGGCTTTGTTCTGTTCTATGCTGTGATTATTAAAAAATGTAAGAAGAGAATCAATTTGTTAGAAATGTCTATACTGGAATGTCAAGTCATGTCCAGTCTTTTCTTTGTTCTTTTTTAATTGTATTATAAATAAAAAACTTTAAAAAAAATGCATGGATGCTTCTAATAAAACCTGATTTATGGAGCAGAAGACAGATCCAGGTGTAATTTCTTCCAATTCTAATCTTCCCATTTTCGGCCAATATTTTCCATGCTATTTTTCCTTACTGCATAAAATCCACTAAATTGGTAAAAGAAAAAATGGCAATATCAATTTTTTTACCAGTAGTACTCAGGTATTTCTCTGTAGAAGGACCCAGATGTGATTCCTCTAGGTTTGATAGAATTGAGGCAGGTTATTCTAAAGTGGTTGACTCTTGGGATGCTGTGCTTCTACAGGGTCCGTAAGGAACAAGGAGCTCATGATGAACCTGAACTAGATGCCGAATTCATAGGAGAAGATGGGCTGGGGGCCAGCACTGAAGACACAGATGAGTGTGAGAATGAGATTGATGAAGGGTTGATGAGAGAGGATGAAGACGATGATGAGGAAGAAGAGGAAGAAGAAGAAGAGGAGGAAGAGGAGGAGGAGGAGGAAGAAGAAGAGGATGAACAAGAGGAAGAACAAGAGACTGCAGCAGGAGAAGAGGAGAAGGAAGAGGATGAAGATGGAGTGGTGGCTGTAGACTTGAACCTGGGCGAGTTTAAAGGACCTCTGCAATTCTACGCCTGGAAGCAGCTCCTGGGTGCGGTCCATCCAGGTGAGATGAGGTTTTTAGACAAAATGAATTGGTATTGATGTATTACTTTTACACCCCACCTTAAAGGGTCTTTGATGCTCTCTGAGCTTGGTTGTTTTCTTGCAGATATTTCATTACCCAAACTTGGTAACATTATCAGCACTAGTTTGAGTTATGGAATGTCTGCAAGAAAGCAAGCAAGCTCAGAGAGCACCAAGGACCCCCCCATTTCAACCCTGAGCTACAAATATTCTCCTTTATTGATCCCTTACCTTTTATCTGGAAGTTCAAGGCTATGTACCTCCACAGCAATAACCCTGTAACGTGATGATGTTGATGAGGTTATCCATTCTGTGGGCCAGATCTCTTCACATCTTCCAATCTTGCAGTACTTCTTTTGAGTTTTTCTGTGCTCTGGCTGGTGTCAGCTTTTTTTTTTTTAAATAAGCCAATCTTTCCTCCTTTAATTCATGTTACCTTCAGATATTCTAGCAAACAAGATAAAATTGAAGCGCTCCTAGGTAATACACTCTTTTCAGATGATCAAGCCTCTGAACATTCACTGCAGTTTTTTGAGGAACTTACATACAGCATGAGATGGATTGTAACTTGCCTTTAAAAGAATCACTCAGGTTTAAGCTGAGCAACACCAGTTATAAGCAAGCTTTTTATTTTTGCACTGTAGCATAGCCTGTGAGACCATGAATGGGCCATGCACTAGTTCAGGGGTAGGCAACCTTGGCTGTTTTATGACTCGTGGACTTCAACTCCCAGAATTCCTGAGCCAGCCATGCTGAGGGGAAAGGGAGAGGTTTCCAAGCTGAGCCATGCTGACTCAGGAATTCTGGGAGTTGAAGTCCACGAGTCATAAAAGAGCCAAGGTTGCCTACCCCTGCACTAGTTCAAAGGCAGTGCTCTGGTTGGTGGTCAGCTTTGATGGTGTCCAGCCGTTGTGTTATTTGGCAGGCTGGTTTCCTTTTGCCACCAACTCTTCAAACATAATTGCTTAATTGCTGTAATTACCCTATAATATATAATTACCCTGTAATGTAGTTTGGGCTAAAAGAGAGAAAGGAAGCTTCAGAAATGTTGTAGATGGTAGTAGCTCTATTAAAAGATTGCTAATAGACATTCATTTTTTTTCTGGATCACTTTCTACTCCTGCCTGCGCATGTCCATTCTTGTTCATTCTTAATTCTTTCCATCTCTCCTCTGCAGTCCCTTCAAGCATCACTTTGGACTGCAATTCGGCTCATCCCAGCCTGGTCCTCGTGGAAGAAGCCACCGGAGTCAAGTTCAGTCCCGGCCGACGCTTTTGGCGACGAAAGCCAGAGCGCTTCACCTCGAGCCTGTGTGTGGTGGGACGGAAAGGCATTACCACCGGGCGCTTCTACTGGGAGATCCGAGTCGGGGACAGCACCGGTTGGGTGGTGGGGACGGCCAAAAAGTCTGTGAAGCGCAAGAAGAGGCTGAACTTTCTACCCAAGGAAGGCGTGTGGGCCATTGAGCTGAAGGCTGGAGAGTACCAAGCTTTGAGTGAACCCCGTACGCCCCTCTCAGTCTGCGGGAGGATGGAAAAAGTTGGGGTCTACCTGGATTTTGAAGGGGGGCAGCTCTCTTTTTACAATAGCAGCAGCATGACCCATCTGTACACCTTCCAAGAATGCTTCCATGAAGAGCTGCTCCCCTTTCTCAGCACCCAAAGCAGCTACCCCCTCTCAGTGTGGGATCTGGAGCTCTGAGATCTTAGCTCAGAGTGCCGCTGTCAAGAAATGATCCTTTCCGGAACCACGGTGAATGAAGCTCAAGAGCGCAAATCTTCCCTGGTGACAACGATTTAATTAGGATCAAATGAAACAATAACAAAGACCTCTAGCAGTAAGGCTCTTTGTCAAAACAAAGTTTGCTCTGGGAGCTATTGACTCCCAGCGTTATTTAAACACATGTCCAAATTAACCCCACCCTTCAATCAATTCCCTGTTAACCATGACCGCACCTAGTGAAATGTAAACTCCACCCTCCACCCTCCCGTGTCTCGCCCTATCCCCATCTAGCCAGCATTTTTTCCCAATTAACATTACAATCCCTCCGTTCTCTTAAATCTCTCATGTATTAAAGTTCTTATGCCTCCTCTGGGAATCATGTTCGTCAGCTGTACTTCGGCTATCCACTAAACATCTGATTGGCGGTCTATAGTTCTTCTGTGCATGCGTGTTGTTTCTTCATCACAGGCATTGCGTTTGCAGCCCCGCAGGACTGTCTGTGATTCAGGCAACGTCGGAGGATGTCTGGCTCGTGTTTTCCAACCCGGTAGCTTTTGGTTTCTATGCTGGCTCTCCCCCACCCCCGTCTCATGTCGAGCCTGAGAGGTCTTGACAGGCGGACCCCCCTACCAGGTGTCCTCCTGGAAATAGCAAAATATACAGTTAGTTTGATGTTGTAGATGGTGGTACACCTCCCCTTCCCCCTGGCTTATTGGGATATTTACGATGGTATCTACGTATTAATTGAGGTGCATTCATATCTGCCTCCCCCACCCCCGATGCCTCGGATACTGGGTAGCCTCTCCATTGTACTAGGTAATGCAATTGATTTCGTCTATATCGTGAGTCGAGTATCTTTCTTATTTCATAATGATTCCCCCCTAATTGCCCAGGAGGTTGTGGGACCTGCCTGAATGATGGCTTTGTTACTGGTTTCAGTAAACTGCTATGGAAGACTGGGTATACCTTGCCAAGATTGCGAGGGAGTTTTAAATGCACAGTTACTGGATTAATGACTCCGTCAATTTTGAATGGCCTGACATGTTTTGGACTTAGTTTTTTATATGGTCTATGTAATTTCAAATATTTCGTGGATAGGTAGACTTCATCGCCCACCTGGAATGGTTTTTGTGGATTTTGTTTTTTGTCTGCTTGTCTTTTTGACGACTGTTCTGCTTTTAACAATGCTTTCTTTACTGTTTTCCATAGCTCTTTAAATTGAAACATCCATTCATGGGGTTGATATGACCTAACATCACCCTGAGGGCATTCAGGAATAGGAACGAATTCCATCCCATGTACGACTTGAAAAGGAGTAAACCCCGTACTACTGTGTACGGTGTTATTATATGCCATTTCAGCAAATGGTATTAACTCCGCCCAATTTGTTTGTTGATAATTGACATAACACCTTAGATATCGCTCAATCATAGCATTTGCACGTTCAGCTGCTCCGTTCATACTAGGATGGAATGCCGAACTAAGGCCTTGGGACGAGCCAATCGATGTAACAAAATTTTTCCAAAACCTAGCAGTAAATTGTACCCCTCGATCAGATATTATACGTCTAGGCACTCCATGTAACTGGTAAATATGGGTTATAAATAATTTAGCTAACCTCCGAGCTGATGGTAACCCCTTATATGTTGTAAAGTGTGCTTGCTTGGAAACAAATTGATTACTGTCCATATAACTGTATTGCCATGGCTTGCTGGTAAGTCTACTATAAAGTCCATACCAATATCTTCCCATGGCCGTGAGGGATCTGAAACTTGTTGTATCAACCCGCATGGTTTTCCGACCTGGGGTTTTGTTGTTGCACACACACATAGAACATTCCCGGACATATGTTTGTATATCTTTCTTCATGCTGGGCCACCAGAATTGTCGTTTAATTAGGTGTAGAGTTTTTAGGAATCCATAATGACCAGCCACCTTTACATCATGACGTCTCTGAAACACCTCTATCCTTGGAGATGATGGAACGTATATTTTATTACCTCTTCATGCTAACCCATTGTTCATAGTCAAAATATGGGGATGGGTTGATAACCAAGGATCTGTTAATAGTGCATCTTGCGATTCACGTACTAGGTCTTCCATAGGTCGTATTAATGCAATTATCTCCTCTGGGCATTCAGGGGAAGGTATTAGGGCCTGTATTACCTCTTCTTGTTTACTGTTATATTGAGGCTTCCTTGACAATGCGTCTGCCATAAAATTCCTCCCTCCTGGCACATATTTCAATCGGAATTGGAATCGTTGAAAGTATAAAGCCCACCTTACATGTTTAGGTGCTAGTCGCCGAGGGGTTTGTAATGCTTCGAGGTTTTTATGATCTGTCCACACCTCGAAAACCTCTTTTGCTCCTAGGAAATGGCGCCATGTGCTTAACGCCCACTTCTCTGCAAATGCCTCCTTCTCCCAAACCGCCCACCTACGTTCAGCCCTGATAAACTTACGTGAAGTGTATGCACATGGTTGTAACTTCCCCCGTTCATTTCTGTGTAAGAGCACAGCCCCTACTGCCACATCGCTGGCATCTGTTTGTACTATAAAAAGGTCCTCTGGATTGGGATGTCTTAAAACAGGTTCCTTTGAAAATAACAATTTTAAGGTTTCAAATGCCTTTTGGCATTGCAGTGACCAGGATAAGGGTCGTTGTGGCTGTGGTTTGTCACCCGTCAGTTTAGTCCGAAGTAAGTCAGTTAAAGGCAAAGCTATCTTAGCAAAAGATGGGATAAAATTCCTGTAGAAATTAGCAAACCCAAGAAAACTTTGTAACTGATGTCGCTTGCCAATCCAATACTGCCTGTACCTTTACAGGGTCCATTTCCAGACCCCCCCCCCCGAAATTCTGTATCCAAGATAGTCTAGTTTGATGGAACGCCCACTTTGATAATTTAACATATAACTGAGCTTTAAGAAGTTTCCACAACACTTGCCGTACTAATCGTACATGATCTTCTTTGTTCTCAGAATATATAAGAATGTCATCCAGGTACACAAGAACTCCTTTGTATAGATGTTCATGCAACACTTCATTTATAAGTTGCATAAACACAGCAGGAGCCCCCTGTAATCCGAATGGCATTACCTTATATTGAAAACTTCCTAATGGACTGTGAAACGCAGTCTTCCATTCATCACCTTTTTTTATTCTTACTCGATAATAGGCTTCCCGTAAATCGAGCTTGGTAAATATCTTCCCTTGTGCTAAATGGGCCAAAAGATCCTTTATAAGCGGAAGAGGATATAACTTTTGTACACATACTCCGTTTAAACCCCTGAAATTGACGCATAAATATAAACCTCCATCTTTTTTTCCCTTTAAATAATACAGGGGCAGCGACCCGTGACTGAGCAGGTTGAATTAAACCCCTTTCCAAATTTTTGTCAATGTACCTCCTTAGCTCCTTCATCTCATTTGGGGTCATGGCATACATTCGGGGTTTCGGGAGTTTTGCCCCTTCCATTAATTCAATAGCACAATCAGTTGATCGATGAGGAGGTAATACATCGCATTCCCGTTCATCAAATACCTCTATCAAATCTACGTATTCCAATGGAACCACTACCTCCCCCTTCTCCCCATTTTGGGGAAGGATATCCTCTCTCTCTTTTCCTAATTTAACCTGTTCATGAAACGGTGGTTGGGGGCCTACACCAATATGTACCCTTCTATACCCTCCTTCCCACCAAATTGTTGGACCCCATTTGTCCAACCAGGCCAACCCTAAAATGACAGCTTCTGTCATGGATGGTATCACTACAAATTGTATCATTTCCCAATGATCTCCCAACTCCATACATAATGGTTCAGTGATATATTTAGCAGGTACCCCTCCTAGTAAGGATCCATCCACCTGCTCAAACCGTACAGGGGTACGCAATGGTTTGACTCTAATGCTTGCCGCACCACCCGCTCACCAATTAAACATCGAGTACACCCTGTGTCTATGAGGGCATTGTATTCGTTTCTGCACCCTGACCGTGGATCAGTGAGTGTTATAGGCAGGATAAATGGGTGAATAGATTCACTAACCATAGGATCTTCTGCCGTCTCTGAATCTTCGTTGCAGACTATTAACTGGGTTCCTAATAGTAGTTTCCCCTCCTCAGGTTCCATCTCATTCCTTTGGATCTTAGATGTCTCGGACTTTTGTTGTACTGCTTGGGACCTCTCCAAGGGTTTCTTTGGTACAGTTTTCGCAAGGGCCTCTGGTCTGGCCATAGGAAGTAGTTCAGGGCATTCAACAATACGATGGCCTGGTTGGTTACATCGAAAGTAACGGAGTATTGGACAAAACACTCTGATGGGTAGACGAGGTGAAGTACCTGGAGATGGTGGTCATTCAAAAGCCTTTCTTGGAGCCATTGGATTAACATTCTTTGGACGCAATTCCTGCAATCCTGTGTCTAAATCTACCACCATTCGGTACCAATCCTGTAGAATATTGGGAATACCTCGATAAATACATGCCTGTCTAAGGTTCTTGTCTAATCCAGTGCTAAACTGACGTATTAATAGTTGTTCAGGCCACGTTCTTAATTTATTAGCCACCCTCTGGAATTCTCTGACATATTCCGCAGCTGTTCTTCCTCTCTGTTTGACCTCTAATACGTCCCCCTGAGACCGTCTAATCCGTGATACATCTTCGAACCGAGTCCGAAGAGCTCCTAAAAATGTTCCTATAGTCGCCAATTCTCGGGCTCGATCAGTATGAAGATCAGCCACCCACTCCATGGCCTCTCCCTGCAGAACCGATGTTACGGCCCCTACCATCGCCCACTGGGATGGATAGAGATACCCATATCGATCCATATGGCCTATAACCTGGCTGAGGAACAGGGCTAATCGGTCTGGATTACCATCAAACGTTACTCCAAGGGATGGAGGACCCCAAACTGGTCCCTGGACCCATGGTCCCATATTCCATCCTGGACCCCTAGATGGCTGAACCCCAACTTCGGGTCTA